ATTTTGGCCACATGAGCCTCAACAACATCACAATCCACCACAACTCCACCCCTCACAGTGCCCGCACCGCTCCACTCCCTCACAATACCCTTGCTCAACAAAAAGCCTACAACTATACAGTCACCAATGCCAACATATTGTTATAGTTATGGGCTCGCAGCAGAAAAGTGTTCCAGATTGCGGGTTGTAAAATATATAACACAAAACTTTTTCTGAAAACTTATAATGCGAAAAAAAGAAATTAAATAAACATTTAGAATCTAAAAACAAAGAAACACCTTCCCTTTTCTAAAAGATTTCCGATGTTCTAGATTTAAAAAAAAACAAAAAACAGACCCTGTCAGACCAGGTGAAAAATGGTATAGGTTTAACACCCCTATCAACACAAGTAGGTCATTAAAGAGGCGGCTGTCAGACCTGCCTGTCCATATTGTAAGTTAAAAACTACAATCAAAGTTCACAAGTAGAGCGTGAGCCACATCAATACAAACCAGTCCTCTTGACACAAACATTTTTGTTTCCATCACAGGGAAAGAAGAGAAAACAATGTATTTTGAGAAAACAGTGCAAAGGAAAAAAAGAAAGAAAGCACCTCTTCTAATCACTTTCAATTCTCTAAATTTTTACTTCAGTATTCTACATTGACAGATCCACTGCTGTACTTCAGTTAGACATATGGACAGGGTAGTGAAGCTGTATGATTTTGTTTTGCCGGCTAGACCGATAGGTATGTAATAAAACGCGTATTTTTAACATGTTCTAGAACTTTTGAACGACTAAATTATACTTTGGAACCAGCCAGTCAAACGCATAAATTTTCTTATGTACTACACTCAAATTGAAGAAGTTTGTCGAGTTTTTCTAAAAACAGAATTTCACTTCTAAAAGGACTGAGAAATTAATCAATTTCAAAAAGTGAAAAAACAAAACAAAAAACAAGTACATCAAACATGTTCTGGACAATAATGTGAGAAAACAAAAAGTACTGACCTATTGTGCCACCAATAGGTAAAAATCTGCATTATTATATTATAATGAAATAAACAACAATGAAACCAAAATAAAAAGTTCCGGACATGTGACCTACTCTTTACTCAATAGCATTCATGACAAACCGACTCTTCTTTTATTTTAATCTCTTTATAATATCTTCCAGGGAGACCCAAGAGGGCATCGCACTGTGTACCGAGCAGCAACCCACATTCTAAATACCTCACCCAATTAAAACAATTTGAGTCTTCAAGCTATGTGCACAATGCGAATACGACGTTGTTCTTGTTGCCATAAAAATCAGAGAACACTAATAATAGTTCTGAAGCACAGATATATCACAAGAGGAAGAAAATCATGGCATGTAAGTTCAGGTATTTCTGTAGAAAACAAAAGCACCTTTCAATCAGTGCAACACCGTGGACAAGGACACAACCACACATAAGAAGGGAAGGGTAGGATGGAGGAGGGGAGAGGACATACGAGGGGATGGAGAGGAGATAGGGGAGCCAGAGGAAAAGGCATAATTAGGAGAAAAAAATAATTAAATTGAACAATCAATACTGTGGTCAGCGACACTGTTAAAATAAAGATTCATGAAACCTCATAACGAGAAGGACTTTGTTGACAGCTACACGAAAATGAAGAGGTCACAAGTGTTTTAAAAAATTACTAGAACAATAATTACATGATAGCATTGAAAAACTTGACCTTGAGTATGTTAAGACAGAATTAGCCATACGTAAAACTATAACGAGGAATTATGGCATTATAATCATCACCATCATCATCATTCTGTACATCGCCACCAACAATTTGTCTCATCAAGGTGAAAGATTTCGCAAGAAATGTAAAGCACAGCCTTTGTGGTTATGACAAACAGGCAACACACATCCACGCAGCACGGAGCGGTCACCATGTCGCCACAGCCTAGATCAGGCGGAAGTGCCTGATTTGTCCGCTCAGACGAGACCACTCGTACTTGACGCGCACATACTGCACAGAGCCGCGCACAAACAGGAGGAAACCTGGAGGGGGGGGGGGGGGGGGGAGGAGAGGGAACAAAGGAATTAAAGACTATGGTTACAATGACAACAACAAAAATAAGAAGCTTGCAAACGGTGGATAGGGGAAGGAAGAGCAGAGGGATGACTATGATACTTTTACCTAAGGCCACAGTTCAGAATAGGCCAGCTTGGAAAGTAAATCTAGTAAAAATTATCCAATGTAATCACATTTATAGTTACTGATGTAAAAATAACCTTGCCAAAAATGAGCTAAAATCAACAGGTCGACTTTATCGTTTAATTCCCAGTGCTAGAAACAGGGGATGTAACTCCAGATGACTCTGTCGCGAGCAGAAAGTACCGATAATGTCATGAGAGCAGTTCTACACCGAAAGTTTGGAAATTTTGCGAGTTTTAAAGAAAAATTAGTCACTTTTCGCTGCCAGGCCCATAAGGCCACCAAATTTTTGACATTTTTGATCCTAACCAGACCCCAATAATGATCTCCCAGTCGGATATATCGATAAATATGACCGTTGAAGACCATTGCAATGTTCCGCATAACATCGATGACGATTTTGACGATAGTGGAATTGGCAGGGGATCACCACTAAAGCTACCAGAGGCTAGATCTACGGCTGGGTCTAATGATACTTTGACTGCAGTGGGGTCGGGGATCACACACAAGACTTAACTCATAGAGTTGGTCCTAAAAACCAGCGTTTTAATCTTTTCCCCTTTTGTTCAGACTGTATTCATATATATAAATAACATTTTCAAACTTCAGTAAAATCTAACAACAATTAAAGACACAGTAAACAAAATAATGAACCAACCTAATTTTTTCTAGTATCTCAATTTTAATTTATCCTTTAACCCTTAAAACCCTGAATTCTTTTTTTTCACACTTCCCTAGAATCCTGAATTAAAATTGATCATCATCAATTTTAATTCAGGATTCTAGGGAAGTATGAAAAAAAAGAATTCAGGTTTTAAGGGTTAAAGGATAAATGGCCGCTGGATCGGAAAAGTAAGGGTTAAAGGATATATCGGGAAACAAACCTGGCATGGGGGGTACAAATTTAAAGGGTATGTCGCTAAACAAACTTTTTTTGAAACAAATTTTTTTTAAATGAGCATATATCCCTGCTTAACTTATAAGGCTGCAACCAAGGCAAGGATAGCTGTTAAAAAAAAAAAGAGAAGAGGGACCCCCCCCCCCCCCCCAATGGGTTCATCCGTCATGTGGTGCCTTCCACCACAAAAAAAGTAACAATTCCTTTCCAAAACTTCCAAAAAAACAACAAATCCCGGAGAACTCACCACAGAGGACAAGGAGCCACCACAGCCACGAGTCTGCATCTGCTAAGTTACTGCCCCAGTTGTTGTGCTGAACGGGAAAGAAAAAATCATCACCTCATAGTCTCTAACCAATTTAAAGCCCACTGCAGGCCGCTCACTCATAAAAACAATTAGGAAGACACAAATACAGTTTCTAGGACACTTAAGTCTTTCTAAAGGCCTTGAACATCTTGCTCTCACTGGAAAGATAGAAACCAAACAAAGAAGGGGGAGACTCAGAAAAAAATGAATTTTTTTTTCAGAGCATACGAGCAAAGAAATGAATGACGAACCATTATCGCCGATGTGATTCAGATCTGGCACATGATGATAATGATGATCTATCTTTGCAGGGATCCAGCTAGGCTCCCACTATAATACATTGATGATAGAATATAGAGTTACCCAGTGCATACCCTAATTTTCTGTCATTTTCACGTTTGAATGTGGATGGTCACAACCTCGGAACACCACTTCGAATCATTCTTGATAATAGTAGTTTCAGCATAAATTTCTTTCACTGCTGCCCTTATTACTACATTCCTTGAGAATCATCGCACAGACAATTTCTCTAGATCTAGACAAATTTGCAAAAAATATTTTACTGATGGCGATTTTCTGTCTAAATTCACAAGTCAATTAACTTGATCAACTTGCAGATTTTCCAGCAGCGGCTATCCAAAGACAGACCAAAAGAATGAGTGAATGAAAGAAAGGAGTAAATTCACACATAAAGTTTGCTATCATAGCTAGCAAGATTTTGATCAATGTGCAGGTAAAAACTGTATTTCCGACCAACCCGGGATGAATGCATAGCATAATAAAGGCTGATTGCAGATAGGCGATCTGGCAAGTTCCTACAGCATCGTAAATATCCATATAAACTACGAGTGAAATCACAATGAACATTCACTCTCTGTATTTTTACTCTTTTTGACAAATACTTACCTTAGCTAAAATGTTCAAAACCATGGGCCAGGAGAGATTATGTTCGACAGAGGTTTAATTGCATTTCATAGTTGTTCGAAAATAATTTTTTATTGTGACCTTCACATTTGAGGTCAAGACGAGAAATGCAAACCTTAACTTCATTTACCCAGAACATCCAGCTCTTTACCACTGTACAGTTCAACATGCATGGCATAGCCATTGATATTGCATAACTTCAAAAATTGAAGTACCAGTATGATAATGCCATTGTACACAATGGACCCGTTTATTCTTAGACTCCCCTCTCCGTCAGCACAACTGAGGAGCTCAGGCCTCACCTTAGCTATCGCGACCCACTTGACGATGGAGAGCCCCAGGCCAGACAGAGCTCCGCACCGGCCAGCAACCGTGTTGGAGACACACAGGGAGAGCAGGAACCCTAGCCAGTTGAACAGAAACGAGACTGGGGACAGAGAAATAAGCACACATCATTAGCAATGTTTGCACATTCATAACTCCAGATAATTATGTTAGCACACTCATCTTCAGAGGGCATTGGTAGTCCAGAGGAAAATGAACACAGTAGTGTTGAATCATTCACACCTAGAAAGAAGTTCCTTTTGTCGTGAATAAAAATATTCAAGTCGACAAATAAATAAAAGGTGGTCTAAAAGCCGTGAGAAAGATTCTCATAAAGTATAAAGCATATGTTTTGATTTTTCATTGTAAAAGCGAAAGTGTTTAACGTTCCTCTCAACACAGTTGGGTTATTTAAAGGGTGAGACCTCTGAATTTAATGTCCATCTCTGATTACACCGAGAAAATTGGATTTAGAAGCTTGAAAATTCAACAAAACAATTCGAAATCAAGAATATCCTTTTGAGGTTTCTAGCCAGGGCTCCCCGCCCTTTAGTCAAACATAGTACCAACTGAATAAATAGAGCACACCGATTTTTCATTTTGAAATGAAAAGAGAACATATATTAAACTAAAAAAGACAGAATCAATAAAGCCTGCAATATGAACTTTTCAGTTTCAGTTTCTTACTAACAGAAAATTGACCTGTGATGTAATCTTTGACTTACTCAGAAAGGTGCAAATAAACATTCCATCTGTGCCAATAGCAATCTCAGCTGCCCCGTCCAGACTTGTCAGCTGTTGACACAATGGAGAGACCAACAATAGCGTTAGTTTAGTTTGGTTTGGTAAGAGCACTTGCAACACAATTAGGTCATATGTTGCGAAAAAAGAAGTGTTACAAGAGAGGACACAAAATAGAGGGAGGAAAGATAAGGACAATACATGTTTGATAGGAAAGAAGTAACAAACCCCACCAGAGCACCCACCAGCCACCCACAACATTAATGTTAATTCATACTCAAAAAGGAAAACTACATCTCTACCATCACCATACACAACTTCAAGCAAACATAGTACAAAGGTCAATAAATCTATACACACAAAACCAGCTGCTTGGGTTTTAGTTTCAGAAGAAAGAAGCACATCTGCACAAAATAAGAGGTACTTAATGCTGGGGAACAGAAAATAGACTGAAACAACAGAGGGGAAAAAAAAGAAGTTAGAACCACCAGACAGTGGTGTTGCCCCCGAATCATCCCTTTACTCAAAAAGGAAAATTGAATCTCAATTACCATGACATAGTGTCAGTAAAACGAAACCTGTACGACAACACTCAACTGTTTATCTCCCAGTCAGTGTCAACAGAAAATCCTCCCTCTTACAAAACTTATCAACTGTGTCCAAGGCTCTCTACAATAAGTAGTGGGATAGGAAAATTAATTTAAATATTAACATACATTCTTTTTAAAAATTCTGAATAGCCACAGAAAAAGCATTCATGAGATATTCCATGCATCTCTTGTCTCCCTCACTCAACAATAATAACTCTTCATTCACAACATTGCCAGTCACGTCTGTTGAGAACTCACCCACATCCTACATTCTCTTCTCCTCCTCCAATGCCCCTCCCCCCGTCCCCCTACCCCTCTCCTTCAATCACAAACAGCAATTAATTGTATTCGTAGTATAAATTTGGCATTGAAAACTCACCCGTCCCCCCTCACAGTCAGAGTGAGAAGCAGCCGCTGCAGCTTCCTGTTCCACTTTGGTTCTCTCAGCCTCCTCGTAGGTTGGTAAGGTGGTGGCATCCACGTAGTTAGGCAGTTTTGCCGGTCCATAGGCAGGTGTGTCTGGGGGAGGGGGGGCAAATGAACACATGACTATAGCAGCCATGGCCTGACATGTCTACGGAGCTCAACGAATTACAACGAGCACACACCATCAGAGCCCAACATCTTATCTTAACACTTTGCAGTCACACAGCCAGCAGTACAAAATACCCCATCTGGTTATCCAGCCAGAAGAGTGACTGCAACTGATTTCTCAGGTGGAGTATGCTCACCAGAGATTTTTTTCTGGCCTGAACCTTCGAACCATTATGACAGAATCCAATTTCATAGGACATTTACAAAGAGAGTTTAGTTTTAGTAGATGTTTTACGGCGCTCGCAACTGCATAAGGTCATATGAGCGCCAAGGGGTAAATGTCAACAGAGAAGTCCTCTGCTCACCTTTCTAGCTTCAACAGCACAAAGCCTGCTTCGACTATCAAGGCACCCTAGAAATAGCAGGTCACAAGAGTGTGACAAACAAACATAATTTAAATACAAAAGAAGTAGAGGAAAATGACGATAGTAAGGATTAGGAAAGAAGAAGCAGCAGTTCCCTGTTGCAGTTCAGGAACTTATGAGCATGACACTGATGAATAAGCCCATTTACAATTACAATTCTACTGTGCACAAGAACTCGAGATGTTAATATCCCCCCCTTTGGGAATGGCCCACCAAGACACTTCAGTCAGTAGCACCGCCCCGGGAGGTAACAAAGTGAATCGTTAGTTTCACCTCAATAAAATATTAACACCAAATATAAGAAGAACCAGCAGATCACGCTAGAGCACCCATCAACCACCCATATATCTGTATAGAAGACTTCTGTTTTCTCTACACACAACCAACCAAAATTTTTTTTTTAATTGGGCAACAATTGGGAATTCACACCGTTCAGCACAAAAATGTGATCATCATCATCATCAATCATGTGAAAGACCAAAACAAATCAGGTCCATAGTACAGCACAGTAAGAAAGGACAAATTAGAACTGTCATACTTATCGTATCACTTAAGACCCAGAAACTAACCCCCCCCCCTCGATAAAACTTTTATTTCAACAGTGATTATCTCAGGATTTAGATGGTGCAAACACTGAATGTTTTTTTAGCCATTGCATCTGAGCGAGATAGTCATCATGCCTTATCACAGATCACAGTGGTTTTGACGATCTATAGAACAGCCTGACCAGTATCATGTTACAGATTACAGTAGTTTAACAATCTATAACAGCCTAACAATCATGTTACGTTCCAGATAGTTTTTAAGATTTCGTAAATTTTTAATAATAATATCAAACAGCATTTGTATAGCGCCTATCCCAGCTCAGCAGCAAGCTGTATGCGCTTGAATTTTTTAAAACAGTATGATTCTCCCTTTTGTAAAAAAATGGAAAGTTTTCTTTACCTGTCAAGAGGTATTCATGCTACTTTCTTCATATTGCAAATATGAATGACGCTCAAGGCAGCTTCTTTTCAGAGCAAAAAAACAGAATGCCGACCACAAAGAAATAAAGGAATCTTTCCATGCCAAATCCAGTATTAATATCAAGTCAACACCCCCCCCCCGAAGCAAAAACACCAAAGTTCACCACCTACCTCCTTGTTGTTCCACTACAGCAGTCTCAGAGTAGCCTGGAGGAGGAATAACCATTGCCATTGCAACTGGTTCTGCTGGAACATTTTGTTCTTCAGAAGGGAGCTGAAATAAAAAGAAGTAAAACTGTAAAACGTACCATCTAGATTTTAGGACCCCATGCCTATACCATCACCATTATTTGTTGATGCTTAGATTTGGTAAGAAGTTTAACGGCACTTAAAACACAAGTCATATATAAGATTAGAGATGTTACTAGAGTAAGATACAAACAAAGAAAAGAAGGAGGACATGTTAATTATGAAAGGACAATAGATGCTAAAAAAGGACAGAATGTGCAAACCACACCAGAGCACCCGTGAACCACCCACCCACTTGTTGACGCTTCGTTACAAGCTGAGCCTCGTCTCTGAAAGGAAAGATCCAACTTAAATGCATTTCACCTCCTTTCCTGTTCTCTAGTTATGTTCTGTCATGATCTGCTTTCATCATATTTAATTACATCTACCCTCGCTGACTCCAATTTGTTTCACAATTTAGAAATTGTTCACATTATGTGCAAGCTTTGAATAAAAAGAATATAAAAGCAAAAAACTGGGAACCTGAAAAATCTGTTCGCTCTATGTGTGTGCGTCTTTCCCAATATAATATCCTGACGGCCACCTCTATAAGACGGCCACCTGTACAAACGGCCACTT